TCTTGGTTTAATTGGTTTCTCTGCATCCATTCGTGCTCCCTCTAATTCAGTTTTCATGCCCAGCTGGAGATGAGCCACATCATAGACTTCCTGGCTTCCCCAGGCTCTCAGCATAAGCTCCTGTCCTGAGCAGCAAGGCCCTGCCTTTGTCACCTCAGTTTACCCTCTAGGAAGGTGAGGCTCATCTGCCAGGTGCAAAGCCACCTTCAGGGCTCAAATGGCCATCACAACGGTGCCATCACACCCCGCCTCAGCCTGCGTGTTGCCTTCTGGGATCTTTAGAATCAGCCAACCTTGAATTCTAAAAGTAGAACGAGAGGGTGGCTGGGTGAGAGAGAGAAGGCCTTGGAAAGCAGAGAGGCGACAAGAGGTAGCTTGTTTGTTTCAAGGTTACTTGATGTCCTCATTAAGCTTATTTGGGCATTTGGCTTTGACCTCTCTTTCCTGGTTACTCAGATAGTCAAATAAACAACACAGTTGCAATCCAGGACGTAAATACAAGCCTGAGTGACTCCATTTTGGTTTGGTCTAGGGGAGCTCCAGGCTGGAGCTAAGTCCTAAACAATAAACTCCAGTAGATGCTGTTTCACCCTTCTAAGGCTCAGAGGAAATAACCTACCTTAGTCACATAAGTAATACAATGTAATTATTTTTTAGCACAGCAAGAAAGTGACATTGGTGCAGATCAGGAAGGTGCAGACCAGAGCGGAAGTGGTTCAGCCCAGAAGCTGGAGCCAAGATCCCACCCTCCTGGCCTCAGCCTCCTGTTGCCAGGCACTGGGCAAATCACTTGGAGTCTTCTAGAACAGAAGGCGCTGTGCACTTTTTCAGAAACACTGACAACTGCGGTTAATGAAATTCAGGATGCAGTATTTACAAATCTGTCTTTAGGGCAGGATCCTCGAGAGGTGTAAAGGGAAAATGTGCATTTCACAAGTTCATGGTTTTCCTTATGTATTCAAAGGCATTTGCCTCAGTTAGCTGAAGGCCGACCATGTACTTTTACCTCAGGCTTAGATTTTCCTGGGGTCTTGCGGGCAGCACCTGGATGAATCATTCCTGTTAGGTAGCTTGTCACCCTGTTAAAAGTCTCCTAGGAAAGCAGAAAGGTTGAATACAGGCAGTTGTAACTTGGAGCAAAAATCAGCCTAATTATTTGTGATTGTCTGTCGTGTTTGTTAAGGGAACTCCTCCAATGAGCCCACTGTTTGATTTTTTTTTTTTAATCAAGTTGTATGGCTCTGTGTAACTGCAGACCAGCTGCTGTTCTTTCCTTCCTGTGTAAATTATTCCAATAAATAAAAAATCAGGCATGCCTTTGGTGTGTCTTTTTTCCTGTGGTTCTCTCTTACAAAGTAAAATAATCTTAGCAAAGGTTTTGAACTTTCCCCCTTAAGAACACTGTTAATGATGCTTCCTACTAAAATGGAAAATACCATAAAGGAAGATATTAAAGTTTACTGAAATGTGTTAGGCACCAGGCAGTTTCCATCTGTTAGCTGATTTAATATTCAAAGCCCTATGATGAGAAAGGTTTCAACGCAGCTATTTTATTACAGGTGAGGAAACTGAGGCTCCGAGAAGACAAACACTTTTCCCGAGGGTGGGAATGAAGGGTCAGGATGGGATTCCATCCAAGAGTGGCTTGTTTTTTGGTCTGTGCAATATTACCGCACAGTGACAGGACAGGGGCTGCACCAGGGCCAGTCTGAATCCAGGTCCCCCCTGCCTAGCTCTGGGACCAAGCAGGTGCTGCCCTCCCTAAGTGCTTTTTATCTGTGTGTACAAGAGGCATTGTTACAATAAAACCTCCCCCGGGGAAGGGTGGAAGGCCTCTTCCTGAGCCAAGCAATTTGCTCTCATTTCTGGGTCAGGCTTAGTTTCCTGTCTCAGACTTCTGCCCACTCCTAGAGCACCCCCCCCCGGGGGGGGGGCTTTCCTTAGCAGACCTGAAGCCTACTGTCTTTCCAGGGAGTCCCAGGAGAGCTCCAGTTCATACAAATTCTCTCCCCCTTTCCCCTTAAAGAGTACTCAAAGTTCCCACCTGGCTGCCCACAGGACAGATCAGGTTTCTAACAAACCACATCCCTGTGGCCTTGTGTTAAGAAAAGGTAGCCCCAGGTTAGATGGCCAACTCGCTCTGCATAATGGAGTGAGCTTGTGGTGTCCAGGACTGAGGGGGGAGGAGGGGATCTTCCAGGGAGAGGGGAGCCCAGAAACACAGGACAACACCTCCAGCGGGCAGGGGTAGGGTGTGCGGTAAGGAGCGTCACGGGGCTTTTTCAAAACAATGTCTGAGCGCCTACTCTAAGCTGTAGTCTGATTGTGAACCCATAAACCTGCCCAAACACCCCAGTGACCTCCTACCGTACCCCTGGTCTGTCAACTGCAGCCTCCCGAAGGAGGAAGCAGAGTGTACCTCTGGATGAGGTGGGGTGCAGTGGGGGGGGATGCGCTGGAGAACAGAATACAGGCCAAGGAAACAAAAACAGCATCATCCATGATGCAAACTAGCTAAATCCTCAGCCAGTCTAGGGTTCTTGTACGAGATGTGCTGTATGCGTGCTGTGTGCCCCTTCTAAAATGAGGATTTACTGTGCTACAATTCTCAGGAGTCAGGGACCAGTGGTAATAATACACTCAGGTACCCAGCTCCACAGTCCAGTCAGTTGGGTGGTCAGTGGGTATGGCATATCGGTACCCTCGGCCAGTGGGTTGACGAGGCCAGGTCAGAGCAGCAGTAGCCAAGTTCCCTGGATTCGGGCCTTCTGGGGCCTGATCATTGGCATCTTGGCTAACGAACCTGCTGCATAAGTTCTGTGGCACTGGACAAGTGTCCAGGTTGTTTCTAAGTCTGATATGCAACAGTAAAATCTTTAGGACAGCATTTTCTTGAAAAATTTCTCACTTAAATCTATACACTGTGTTTGCCATGGGAGGTTCACTTACTGACAATAAGTTCACTGGACTGGTTAAGGGTCATTCCTTGGGTACCTGTATTAGTTTTGGGGCCTAATATCCACAATTTAAAGGAAGAGAGGGTGAATTTGGTTCACAGTCTCAGGAGATTCAGTTCATGGTTGGCAGGAACATCATGGTGGATGGGTGTGCAGAGCAAAGCTGTTTGGCTGGCGGCGGGTGGCTCAGAAGCACGGGGAACAGTGTCAGAGGGGAAGGGGAAGGGGGAAGGCCAGGCACACCCCGAAGTGTGCTGCACCAGTCTCCTAGGAGGGTCCCAAACCAACTCCTCAGGCTGACACTCGGTGCCCTCACCACACAGCACCCGAAGAGAGAGGTGTCTCCTGCAGGGGGCAAGGAGAGTTGTTTTGTAAGCAAATACGATTATGATAGCAAAGTAATTGTGAAACACACAAAATTTGGGGCCAAATAGCGACATTGGCCTTTTTGCCAACTTTCCCAAACTCCCTCAGGAAATCTAGCAGTTACTAGAATACCAAAGAAAAGTTACAAGGTAGAAAAAGGGAAATAACCCAATAAAGACCAAAAGCATTTTTCAAAAGTACCAGATATAGGAGACAGGCAAAGAAGATTCGACGGGTACATAATAGAATTCTCTGTCCCCTAAAAGGAATACAAGAGAAGAGGTGCGGAAATGATAAACTCTAAAAACAAAACAGGACTTGAGCCCGAGTGTGTGAAGGAACAAGGACCAAGAACAGTCAACTTAAAGGCGGAGGCTATTAAAACTGACGATCTAAAACAGAAATCTCTTCAGCATATGCAAAAATGATCAAGCAATTTACATGGGATTAAATCTTTACAGGAGACTTGTAAACTAAAACACAGCAGAGAATACCGAGGAACACAGACTAGGTACCCAAGGAAAAAAATGTGAGCCAAGATCTTTAAAGTTCAGCTAAAGTGGTCTTCAAATACCAAGGTCACAAACTAAGGTAGAAATGACAGAAATCAAGGAATCTTGTTCACATGTCTCAACCAATTCCTTAAGTTGGAATTCCTTAATTCCAACCAGACCATTGAGAAATATTTGGGAAGCTTTTCATTAGGACCAAGTAAATATAGGAAACAGTGTGTACAGGTTGGGTTATTACTTACCTGAAATGCTTTCAGACCAGAAGCGTTTTAGACTTCGGAGTTTTTAAATTTTGGAATATTTACATATTAAAGATACAGTTGAGGTAACAGGCTGAGACCCAAGTCTATAAATGGAAATTCATATGCATCTTTTTTTTTTGATCCCAAGTGCTGAACTTAGGCGGGTGCTGTGCTGCTGAGCTGTATCCCTGGCTCTCATAGGCATCTTATACATGAAACCTGAAGGTAATGTCACATAGATTCAATGCTTTTGTGCATAAAGGAAAACGGTACACACAGAACCATTCATGTATGACCGCCCAAGTAAGTCACACACAGGATTTTCCACCTGTGCTATCACCCCAGTGCTCTAAGCACTTCAGATTTTGGGCTAGGGATGTCCAACCTCTATTTGTTATATTCTCTGATAATGAAGATACAATTTGGCTATCGAAATTGGGGAAAGGGAGAGAACAGTCAGAGGCCTGATGGTTTCCCTTAAAGGCCATCACTTTTGATGGTTTGTCGGGGGAGGTGTTCCTAATTCCAGTATCATTCAGAGAAGAGAACCAGGATATGTGCAGCTTCTGCGAGGCGGCTGACAGGCACAGGTGGTTATTTACACTTAATTAACATACATAAACATCAAAGCCCGTTTCTCAATCACATGAGCCCCATTGCCAGTCCTACACGGCTACACAGCTTGGGGTTACCACACAGGGTAACACAGCCTGGAATATGTCCACCAAGACATAAAGGCCTTTGGACAGTGCTATGACTGTCGGAAGGGTTTGTAAAAATCGAGCAAAGACATTACCCTGAGACGTTAGTGTAACTGTAACCATGCAGCAAACACAATGCCAAGGGAAAAAAAGAATTTAGAAAACAGACAGCATAGCCGAACATCATATAGAAAAACAATACTAATACCAAGGTATTAAAAATGACTTTAATTGACCAATTCAGAATATGCAGCAAATCCCACAAACATACATGTACATTGTCCCAACCTCTCTCTGTGAACATATGAAGCGTTTCTAAAACATACCTAAAACAAAGAAATTCGGATGCTGGGCAAAAACACCGCAGGCAAATACTGTGTAACAGGAGCAAACAGTTCACCATCTTTACAGAGGACACAGCAGAAATCTCATTAGGAAACACTCAAAGGCAAAGACTCAAAGGCTGCAATTCACAAGGTGTGACAATCAATATTTATTTTTTTTTAAAATTTTATTTAAAAGGAAAAAGAGAAAAAACAAAACAAAACAAAGCAGTGTAAGGGTACAAGTAATACAGAACTACAAAAAACAAAACAAAACAAAACAGTAAGAAATCACCGGTTAATAGATTACATATTATCATCTTAGAGATAGTTGCTCAAATCACAGTATCAAAGCATACAAAGTGGACACTCAAACAGTGAGACTGCAAACAGTTGTGTTCAATGATCCAACCAAAAACATTAATATGGTCAGCTATTTTAACACCCCTAAACACTCTTGCTGTTGTATCATTTAGAACTTTTTTTTCCACCTCTCTTTTTTACAACAAAATTTACACATTTTGGGTTTTATTATTCCTTAGTTCTTATTACTTTTTTGGGGGGAGGGAGAGAATAAAGTCAAATATGGCAAAACAAAGCTGTCAGTCAAACCAAGGATAGACATAGCACATGATGTAAAACAGAGTACAAGGTTATCAACAATGTCTCTTATTTCCTTAAAAAGAATTGTCTATCTCATTAGATATTATAAAGTTGAACAAAACAGTAGAGAACAAGACCAACAAAACTTAAGCATTGTAAACATTACAGGACTTCCAAAGGAGACAATAGTCAAACCAGAATGGGCATCTTAGTGAATCTTATTGCCTTCAAAGTAGTTGCCTATACCCTCAAACTTCCCATCATACAGAATGGAACAGAGTCTAATCAGTCAAAGCAAGATAGTGGGAGTATTACAGGACTTCAAAACAAGTTAATAGGAAATCAAGAAAGTTAGACAATCAATATTTATACAGCCAATACTACAACAACTTTATGAAGCCTAACATACCACAGATTAAAAGAAGATGGAACTGCACCACTCATAGGAAGTATTTATGTAATTTTCCAGGCTAAGATAAAGCAAATGGGCGAAATTAATGACTAAGAACACAGAAAGGCCACGCACATGGACAGCCCCAGCAACCCCATCTCTGCACCCAGCGAGGGAAACGCCTTCTTTACAAACGCGCATGAAACGTTCACCCAAGCTGAGCCAGGGAGGCCACATAAAAGATGTGAATTAAAAAGAGAACATCCTGACTTTTGGGTAATAAAACTATCAATTAATAACAAAGTTTACAAAACCAAAAGGCCCTCTACCTGAAGTCTTTTTTGGAGGGTTGCTAGAGATTGAACCCAGGCCCTGTGCTTCCTGATTATATACTGTACCACTGAGCTACATCATCTATCTGAAAAACTTTTAGTATCTTCCTTAACTCAGCGCAGTGATACAAGCCTGTAAAATCCCAGTTACCAGGGAGGCTGAGGCAGGAGGACTGTGAATCACTGAAGCTAGTCTGGGAAGCACAGCGAGTCCTCATCAGAAAAGGAAGGACTCCCTGAACTTGGGTCCAGGGCAGTGGTGGCGAACCCACGGCACGTGTGCTGCAGTGGGCTGCTTGTGGCATTGAAAGTTCTAGAAGGCTTGCCAGTACTGGTCTGGGGCAAACCTCATAAGCCTAGAGGAAATAAGAAAAATGCAGACCTTTTTTGGAAATAACAGTAATGAAAAATATGATCACATGTACAAAGCAGACGGAGATCCGTAAGATGGACAGACGGGGAAGAGAGGCCAGGAAAGGGGAGGGAGGAAGGAATCCAGGTGCATTGCGCACAAGGGCCAATCCCACAGAGATGGGCAATGTTATGAATGTTACGAATACGTGCCAATAAGAAAAGAAAGTCTGTGACACCGACTGCTGTACTGCGCCTGCCTGCCTGCCTCAGGTCTCCTCGCTCTACTTAGGTCTGAGATTCTGCTGGGTTCTCCGCCTGCTTCTTTGCTACTGTATCAGAGTCCCAGCACACTTCCTGTGCTGAGCCAGGATTTGGTAAACAGAATGTTGCAACTGATATTGCTCTTCCAGCCAGGGTCTTGATAATTACAAGGTTTCCAATGTTCCTGCTTGCCACTGTCAGGCTGTCCCCAAGAGGCATCTGTGCAGTCGGTTCCTGTGGACCGCAGTATGAAAGGCAGGGTTAGGGAACAGGACACACCGCCCTGACACGCTCCTCAGAGAACCCCAGCTGTTTCTCTTGTGTAGTTTCCATAAGCAACTTTCTATCCACCCAGCCCCGCCCCTTCCGCCCTCCAGGTGGCTCCCTCATGTCGCCCTCTCCCATGTTGCTGCCAGGAAGTTGTGGACTGAGGTCCCACAGGAGCGGGACCCAGGGCTCTACTGGCTCCCGCTGGTCCTGCTGAGGTGCTGTTTGAAGGTGCAGGAGGATTGGCGGGGTTGGGAGGGGACAAGGTGGGCTGTCCTGTGCCCTGCATGTGTCATGGAAGTAGGGAGGTGTCTGGCCAGGGCCCGGGTGGCGGGGACAATGTCAGACAGGAGGAGCTACTAGGACCAACTGCAACACTTTCCCAGGCAAGTGCAGGCTCTGGGCCCAGGCAGGGAGCGGCGGGCAGAGCCACTGGGCCGAGGGTTCACAGAGGCAGGGGTGACAGAGTGGGACCAGACACGGGCACAATTCCAGGAGCCACCAACAAAGCACTGTTCTGAGCTCACTTATGTTAATGGTTTCACGTCATGCTTCCAGGAGCACTGGGGTTCTGAGAGCTGGATTATCAAGAGAAAAAGCCTTCAGTGCCATTTCCAAAGTATCAGAAATGCACGAAGTCCCCAGCACTGTTTGCCATGCAGTGCCCGGATGCAGTGACGGGGGACTGCTTGTTCTCCTCTCTCACCACCAGGATGTGGGTCAAAGACAGAAGCGGATTCGGCACAGGTTATACGAACCATCATGCATTGAATTGGCCAACAATACAAAGTGTTCACACCATGTCCAACCTCACGAGGCCTGTGTGCGCAGAGGTACCTGTCAAACAGGGGAACCTGACCCCTCTCCCTAAGATGGGTAAACCGAAGGCCACCCACGCTAGTTCCTTGCCTGGCCTCTCAACACTGCCAGGTGCCGTGGGCCTGGGCCCGCGGGGTGAATGAGGCTCTGTGGCCACGTGCGCACAGGCCTAGCGCCTGAAGAGGCAGCCGATCCGGCAGATGCATGGAGCTGAGGGCACAGATTGGAATGAGCACGGGACGCTAGAAGGGAGAGAGAAACTGGAAGTCCTGTGCCAGCTGGGAAAACCAGAGGCACAGGTGCGGCTGGGCACTGGAGAAAATGACAGGGATCAGGTCTCCTTGTTGGTGCCACCTGCCAGGGCAGCAATGGGGCAGAGGGCTTAGAGAGCCTATAGGGCTCTGGGCAGGTCCAGCAGCCTGGGTAGGGCATGTCCTCTGGCCAGGTATCTCCTCCCTGCACAGTGACAGTAACCCCCACACAAGACAAGTCAACAAGGTGAACACCGCACAGACATCCTGCTGCAGGCCTAGGGTGAGCAGAGTCAGAAATGTAAGACCTGGGAAGGGGCAAGACAGGACAGTGTCAGGGGCAGAGGGAAGGGCAGCATGGGGGCTTGCTGGGGCCAGCAGGGGAGCTGGGGGTGTCAGTGCTGCCTCCCAGGGGCTGCGCCTCACTGTGCCCCAATTGGAGCCAGCTAACACAACGACTGACCACTGTCAACCAAGGTGCCAGCTGTGACCCGAGGCACTGCACCCAGAAGGCTCTGCTCTGCTGAAGGTCACAGGGTGGCCCCCGCGAAGCCTGTTCAACTGGGGACCCTCTGGGGCAGCAGCACGGGAGGGGTGCTCCTTTCTCCCTCAAGGCTGCTCAGACTTGATTCCTGGATGGGCCCTGGTTGCTCACCACGTCAAGGACACTGCTGGTTTGGCAGCTTCTCCTGGTTCGGCAATTTCTCTAGGAGGATGTCCTCTGTGCCGCAGAACTGAGGGCAGGAGGGGAGAGAGGCGGTGATCAGACCAGAGTGGCACAATCCCTACCCTGCCCTAGTCTGGGCACTCACTGACAGGACGTGGGTGGGGTGCTGCATGCCTTCAGCCGGTCCCTGCCATCAGCAAGAGCTTCCTACATACCAAGGGCTTCTGGTGGGGCCCTCGGGGATGGCCAGGCCCTCAGTGCTAACTCCTGTCTGGTCCGGCCCTTTAGGAACTTGCAGTTGTGAGTCTGTCCACTATTTCAGCATTTGGTGCCGGGGTGAAGGAAAATGGGGCACAGAGTGGACAGGGGCAAGGCCACCCTAGACCGCATGCCTGTCCCGGGGGAGCCCCGTGCTTGCCTCAATGTGATACACTACACGCCAGAAGGAGGAGTCGTTGGCTCGGTATATTCTTTGCGGGAGGTAGTGCTGCCACATCAGAGGCAGAGGGCATGGGCGGAGCTGGTTGGGGGTCTGGGGGTCCCCCATCTGGACTGTTTGCTGCCGCAGGAGCACCTGCAGGTTATTCTCCGTCTGCAGAGAAAAGACAGGGGAACATGTTTAGGTCGCACTGAGGAGGCTTCTCCAGGCCTATCGACTGACCCAGGTCCCTCCCGCTGCCCTACAACCCTAGCCTGAACTGACAGACACCAGGGCGAGATGCAGGGGATCCCTGTGCCCACTGATGTCAGGGACCCTGGCTGGGCCAGCATGAAGCTACACACCCAGACAGGGTCACCAAGGGCACACTTGTTCCTGCCAAGCGTCCGGGGTGGGTATGGGCCACATGGCCCTTGGCTTAGGGGGACCAGTTCAACTGGCATGTGGCTTTTTTATTTCCTCCTTTAGGTAAGATATCCCTGGATCCCAGGTTCTGGTGACACACTTCACCCTCCCTATCCCCTGCTATTGTTTATCTCCTGTACTATAGCAGCTACCTGCTTGCTTGTCTCGAGTCCCACAGCTAGGTTTCTGCAAAGCAGCCGAGCTGAGCAGCTGAAAACCACAGCTCCTCCATGCTGCCCACATGGGCAGTGCGATTCTGCACCTTTAACTATGGCCTGCAGATATCCAAAAGGCCCAAGCAGCAGGCCACACCTCCCTCCACTTTGTTCCAGCCACACTCCTGACCTGGGCACTGGTGGGACCGGTCCCCAGTGCCACCCCGCCTGCCTGGAACCCCGGGCCCTCATCTACACAGCACCCAGCCCTCTCCTCAGGTGCACGTCCAGCAAAGACAAATGAGGCATGTGACTGACCCAACACAGTTTTATCAACACTGGAAATGAGCTGCATTTAAAAATTTAAGGAAAAAAAAATCCACAAAATCCAACTGTATGCTATCCACAAGAGATGCCCCAAACAAGGGCTCAGAAAGATTACACAGAAAAATAGCCAGTAGCACTCACGGCGGCCGCCCACACTTGATGCATTTCCAACACAATTTAACCACAGCTTTACTCCCCCAGCTGTGTCAGCTTCACATCAGATCCCTGCAAACCCTCACACCCACGTTCATTCAATGAGTCTAAAGGAGTCCTCGCTTTTACTAAGCCGGAAACAAGTACTAACATTTGTTTGCGGAATGTTTTTCTAAAGTGAAGAGTTTTGTGAAAATTCCTGCCAATGAAATTATACTTAAAGAAACCAAAAACAAAGATCATTCTGGATAGTGTAAGCGCCCTGAAAAAAAATCACTATTCTTAATGGGTTACAGTGTCTTCCAGAGCCTTTAACCAGTCGGAATTATTCATCTTTCTCTCATTAATTTAACTACACATTAGAAACACCGTTTCTTCCAATTATGAGATGCAAATCCAGCCCCAATTTTGCGAATGGGTTATTTTTCAGATGACACCCCATGAAAAACTGTCGGGATCATGGTGTTTTGGTGAGAAGATATTTCCCAGAGATTTTAAAGGAGATCTACCAAGAATTTTTAAAATTTCAACCAAAAAGGAGCAAACAAATTGATTTTTAAAAGTATAATGTGGGTATATTTAATGAAATAAAGTATATTGAAATATATTGAAATGGCAATAAAAACACAAGTTTAAGTGTTTCCTGAAATTACAAGCCTTGGACCACTGGGGCAGGGTAACTTTTGAAGCTTCAGGGTTTTGAGCAACCAAGCAGAGACAAACTCAACACTCAGTGTGTCTGCTTGCTATTATGTTTCATAGATATTCTACTAGTGTATATTTTAATTTTGCTTTTCCACCTCTCCTGGGTTTACTGCGGAGTTTGGAGTTTCACCACTTTTTGCTTCTACTGCTTTGAGTAAAGCCCAAGCGCTAACTGAAAATACACAGGTATTGCAGTCGCAGGGATTGAATCTGGGGTCCCACGCACCTTAGGAGAGTGTTCCGCCGCTGAACTACATCCCTACTTGCGTCCTTTTTCTCTTTAAATTTTGAGGCAAGCTTTCGCTAAATCCGCCCTGACAAGCCTCAGACTTGAGATCCTCCTGCCTCAGTCTACTGCGTAGCTGCACTCCAGCCATGTTTTGAGTTACCTATTTTTTTCTTTTTTGAGTTACATATATTTTTTTAAAGTAACAACTGAAGATCTATCCTGGTCCTCAGCAGCATGCACTTCACACCGGCTTTGCTCCGAGTGTGTTGCTGATTTGTTCCAGACCTAAAGGGAGGCATAAGCACCCTTGCGTTAAGCCTCCGTTCTCAGTCTAGTGGGGGCGCTTTGTAAACGTGAAGTTTCTGGGCCAGGTTAAGGACATTTTGGGGATGAGCCCACGCACCAGTCACCAAAAACTTTTCAGTAGGACCCGGAAGCCAGAAAGCCTCGGTCCACAGAAGCTCACGCCCTCCACGCCCTCCAGGGTCCCCAACTCTGGCGTGTACCCCTGGTCTACCCATCCTCCTTCCCGGCCTGGGGGCAACACAGCCAGCAGAGCCCGGCCCAGGCCCAGGGCGGCTGCGGAGGGTGCTGGGCGCCAGCACAGGGGGCGCCCCGTCTCCTACGGCCCCAGGGTGGGCTATACCTTGAGGATGACTGGCAGCCAGGTGCGCTGATGCTCATCCACGTACGTGGCCTTGTCCCATATCCACAGGCGGTTGGGGTCCTCGGTTACGTGCTTTACCTGCCTGTTGGAGACCATAGCCTGGGCCATGGCGCCTGGGCAGTGCAGGACAGAAAGTGCAGCCTCGAAAGGCCGCTCGCTGGGCCCAGGGATGCTCCGCAGCAGCTTTATAGCCGAGGACACGCGGGCGCCCCCTGGCGTCGGGGCGAGAGGAGGGCGGAGTGCCAGGATGGTGGGCGGGGCGCATAAGGCAAGTGGGTGGGGAAAGGGGCGGGGCGCGTCGTGAGTGGGCGGGGCCGCACGGGTAGAGCTGCTCCCTGGAAACCTGGTTGCACCCAGGATGGAACACACCTTAAGGCCCAAGGTCTCAACCAGTCTTTCCTTGTTTGTAGTCACAGCTGCCTGCTGGAGAGCTGCTCAGTCTCTGCCCTTTCCTCTTGGAGAAGTTGCGGCTCTCTGCCCTTCTTGGGGCAGTTCAAGCCTCCATGGTGGGTAGCTGTTCAGTCCACACCCTGAACCCAGGCCTCCACGTGGACACCAGGCCGTCCAGAGCCAGGCCGATTCTCGTTCAGGGATCAGAAGAGACCCGCGGAAGTCCGAGCCAGGTCTGTGGTTTCCCAGTTCCGGAATCACCTTCAGCCTGGGGATTTTGGGGTGTCAGAGTCAAGTTTTCTTGGGAGAGTGACTCTTACAGCCTCCCCCGCTCTCCCACGCGCAGGACATTGCATTTTCCATGATTTTGATGATATTGTGGTCATCTAATAGCCATTGCAAAACATGGTGTGGAAGGAACATGGGTTTTCCCTTTGTTCTTTGAATTCTTTGAATTAGTGACCGCATCGTTGGAGGTGAATATGTAAAAAGAAACCCCTCCAGCCCAACATCAATGGGTTTGAAAAATCCCTAGGTTCCATGATCAAACCCATCTCTCTGTAAATTACAATAAAGAAAGCAATTGCTTTATATTTTGCTGTAACACATGCCCATTAAGACAATTAAGAAAAGGAAGTGTCATAAAAAAGGAGAAAAAAAAAACCAAAAACCAACAGCTCCAGGCTTCTTGTTCCAACAGCACTGTTGGAAGCAGTCAGATGCCTATCTAGCTATTCTTGGATGAGGGATAAGAAGACAATCTGCGATCTCTGAAAGGTCACTCTGAAAGGACAACGTCCTGCTTCACCTGACCAGTGGGCTGCTTCTCTGCACAACCAGCTGAGGTGGAAGTGGCCTCCTGTCAAAGGGGTGTGGTTGGGTGAACTAGGAAGGCCAAGTGCACCTCTCTTCCAGGGAGGCCCATAGTGGTGCTGTTGTTTAATATTCAGATTTGCAGCTCGCAGAATGATTTCCCTGTGGAGGGCTCTTTGACTCCAGACCTAGATAACCACATAATAAGATGAAAGCCTTGGGAATAAGCTTTGTTGGAGAAAGTCTCAGCCATTCTAGAGGTCATGCCATTGGGATTATTTGGCAAAGGAGGAGGTCCTTGAGCCTGGGTGGCTACTGAGGTAGCCACAAAGATGGCCCCAGGATCCAGGCTGTAACTGGCCCCAGGATGGAGTATGTAAGTGAATCCTCTATTTTATTTGCATTCATTCTGTTTTTGTTGTAAGGGCAACAAATAAGGAAAGATTGGAACAAAAATCAGATCCCTTTGGCTGGTAAGTTTTTGAATGTTCTGGGAATATGGTTCCCATTTCCCTTACTTGGAAAAAAATTCTTTGATTTTGCACAAGGGCTTCTTAATATTGGACAATAATATACATCATTATTGTGTGGGGTTTAGAAAATTATTTAAGAAGTTTCCAAAGAAAAATGAAAATGAAATCAGATAACTGAAACATTCAAAGGCAACTTTGGTAGAAGTCAAGGCCCTTGCTCAAGGAAATTCTCCAGGGGCGAGGGGTGGAGTTGGAAACAATAGGTATTGTGTAATCTCAGAAGAGGAAGTCTCCCTGGCCTGTTATCTACCCCATTTTAGGATAGTCCAGTGCCAGTCAGTCTAGCTTTAGATTTTTCTGTTTCTTTCTGAGTTTTTCCTTAGTCCGCAGATTCCCTGGGGATACACAAGTGGATGTTCCCCAAACAATCATTTTGACAGAATTCCTTAATTGATGCTTTCAGGTCCTACCTTAGGGCTAGTTTTGATTTTGCCACTGTGACCTGTGAACTTGGCCAATCCTCCTGCTTGGCCTTAGGTGCCCCACTTTTGTAATGAATAGGTGGAGCTAGATTCCCTGTAAACTCATTTCTCATGAAATCTGCCTCTGATCCTCCAATAATGTTGCCCAGTAGGAAGAGGGAACAGTTAACAAAAGATAAGAAAACTCATAACACTTGCTCGTGAAAGTCTATGGTTTTGACCACATGTTTGAGCAGTCAACCTCAAAGACCTCCATTGAATTCACTCTTTGGGAGGGAGGAAGCCATTCTTCTTTGGATCCCAGGAAGGGAGCTAAGAATGAGTCATGATTGCCAGGATAATCTGTTGGGACTCCCAGTAGCACCTGGAGCCCATGAGGACTGCAGAACCTGAGCCATCTCCTGGGCTCCTGACTCAGAATCTTCACTGCACAAAACCCCAGGTGGACCTGGCGAGATGAGATGTGACTTGTGAGGGAGGACACTTATGTCTCTAGGAAACAGGAGTCATTGTGTTTTTGTTTAAATTTTACACTGGCTTATTCTCTGTTGAAATGAATTCTAATATACAAGGTGTTTTCCTCTTAATGGGAAATCCTGGCCACCAAGTTCACCTTAACTATTGCCAGTGATTGCAGTAAGCTGTAAAGAGACAACACAAAAGCCACACAGGTGTCCTGCTCAATAGGCCCTTTACTTCCTGGCCCTCATCCACCAACATTCGCTTGGAAGTTCTCATAACTAGGTACAACTCCAGAACAAGTGTATCAGGATCTCTGAGATTGAAGCTTGAGTATTATTACACTTGTGAAAAAGAACTAACTTCTTAGGCGAGTGTATCCTACAGTGAGACATGAGTCCCACTGGAGGAAAATCTGAGTTACAGATTTATAAAACTAAATGACCATGAAAATGTCAAAGCTATTCTATCTACCATTAATTTTCGCTGTTAGCCCCATCACATTCCACTCTGTACATCATGGCCCTTATTGTACTTTAAAGTTGCTGCTTCCAGTCTTTGGTGGACAGGGAACCAGAACGCTAAGTTTATTAGAACTGTAAGGGTTTGAGACCTCGCAAAAGCCGTGATATGGAGGACCGATGTTAGTGCTTGGAGTGGGTTTTTTGGTTATCCCTGGGCCTGGACCACATTTCACGTAATTTAAACTGCTGATCAAGTGAGCTCAGGGTAAAGAGATGTTAGTTACTACTACCTTTACTCATAAGGGATGGGCTTGTATCTTGTTTAGATTAATAGAGAATTGGGGATGGGGCAAGTATATTCCAAGCAAACTCGGACTGACCCTAGCTTTGTGATTGCTTAGCTACCCTCTCTCCTTTAGTACAGCAGAGTTTTAAGTCTGAAGTGTTTCTCTAAGTTTAAGATGTACACAGACCCTTGTCAGAATGCAGATTCTAATTTCAGTAGGTTTGGGCCAGGCTTCAAGATTCTGCATTTTTAAGCTGTTTGTTGGTGGAGGTAGATTCTAACGGCTTACAAAACCCCTCCTATAACAAGGCCATATACCAGTGATGGCAAACTTACGGCACATATGTGATTCATTTTTCTTTTAAGACAAAAGGTGTTAATATGCGTTTTTTTTAAAACTGAAACCTCAGTATTCAGGTTTAATTGCAACGTTGGTGCTTTGCATGAAGTGGGTTTTGTGTTGCCATTTGGCCAGTTGTCCCCAAAAGATTCTCCATCACTGACCTATCCTAAGCTCATCCTACCTTGATCCATGCAAAAACAGAATACAACCCATATGCATCAGAATGTACACGATAGTACACCACAGTCAAACCGAACCAGCTGGTGAGAAGCCTGATTGCACTGGGCAGCTCAAAGAGAAATGTAACTACCCACATGTGCCCAGTGGCAAATTTGCTACATGTGGATCCGGAGCATTTCTGAGATGGCTCCACACTCCGCATGGTATTTTAGAGGTATTGGTGGTGCGTATCAGAATGGTTCTTCTCGCCGCCTCAGTTCTTGAATTTAACTTAGTGCTGTGAATTTCCCTTCAGAAAAATATATCATATACTGTATCTCTTTATTTTACTCCTTCCTGACAATCTTTCTGCTTCTAGCATACACAAACTGAGATAAATCTGTTAACTATGTACTGCTTTTAGCTTTCACACTGAAAATGTCCTTGCTACCATTTGCAAAATATGTCGATCTAGCTTTTCAGTTTTAAGGATATTTTATGTAGAATTCCAGACAATTAATATGTCTGGGATTTCTTTTTATTTCTGAGATGTAGGAAAAAAATATATATATACACATTAAAAATCTAGTTGTATCTTTTTTTCCAATTTTTTAGCCAGTCTCCCAAACGCTACTGAATATCCTTCTACAAAAATTTCTTATATCACTACTGTTAAACACCAAGTTTCTATGTAGAGTGGGTCAGTTTCTGGATTTATTCTGTCCCTTTTGTCTGTTACTATGGTAAAACTGTACTTCTAAAGAAATCATTATAAATTTGAAATACTTAATGGGATGGGTTCTACCTCTTTGTTCTTTTTTCAAAATTGTTTTAGCTATTCATGGAGTTTTGCACCTCTGTGTTTCTTCTTAATGCTTTTTGGGATTTTATTGACCTTGCATTGAATTTTTACTCTGGGGGAAATCTATTCTTTAATGGAATTTTAAATCATCTGCTGAAACAATGTTGCATACTTTGGTGTTATTTCTACTTATTGTAGAGCTTTGTTGTTTTCATGAATGGTATTTTTTAATGCTACTTTCTGGCATAAAGGAATGTGTGTTAGTTACTTCCCTCCTCTCTGAGACAAAATATTCACCACCCACAATGTAAGGGAGGAGGGATTTATTCTGTATGATTTGTAGCGGTGTCAAATGTATTTGTGCGCTGCTGGCTGTGTTTTGCACCTATGCTTTGACAGGTTTAAGCATGCTCTACTGTTCCTAGTGTTCGTGCATTCTCCATTTCTTTGTTATGCAGTGTTGGTAGGTTGTGCATTTGTACATTTCTTCTAAGTCCTG